TTTTAACGAGTGGTCCATAAACAGAAATACCTTCAAAAATCTTGTTATAAAATTCTTCGCTGTCAGGACGGGATAAAGATCTTCATAAAGTTTAAATTCACAAACAACTTTACATTACCCCACAAATATAAAGGAACAATCACCAAATTGAAATTGTACTCATAGTGTTACACAGTATGAACAAACTTCCGATCAGTAAGCTCTGCATCAAAGGTCGCCAGTAGTAAATACAAAAATACCGTAAGCCCGAAGAATTTACAGCACCTCAACTTTCTGCAAATTTTTATCACCTGCAGATAGGCCATTGTTGAGAAGCACAGATATGATTCAAAATAAGCGTCGTGCAGAAACGTCAAAGTTTTAATATTTCAGCCCATAGTAGCGCAGCAACGTGCCAAGTAATTTTGCTCCATATCTCATGCTCCGAAGTTTTCAGTTCTTTCTATTACTCTCTCGAATCTGAGCCATAATCTTGATACCACATAGAGCACTTCATTCAAACGAAAAATGGAAGGGCCAATGATACGATGCTTGCTGATGCAATTGATTGATCACCATCGTCACTAATCACCTAGCAAACTGTAGACAACTTCGGTTTTGTTGCGTCGGTTCATCTGACTATTTCAGATTCTGATCTTAAGAACTGTTTCCTGAATCAGGAAAGAAAAGGTTTTTCTTGGACTACGGATCTCTGCTTAACTTTATTTGCCCAGTGATGTGCTGCTGCATGTCTTTTGTCGCACCTATTCGTCCTTGACCGCGCAAGAAGTGTATGACTACGAGTCGCCCCGACATGGCGGATTTATCTCTGCATCAAATCGACTGCCGTTTGTTTCAACAACCAGCCCGCAATGAGACTCAACATCTCTGAAGACTATCGTAGCTTCTTTCTGCTGTTATGCTGTTTGTCATTTCTATCACAAGGGCAACCGCATAAAATTAAATCAGTTCACATTCATACATTGCACAGATTTTTGGTCAACTATCAGACGGTATAGCACATGCATCAAACAGCTTGGCTGCATACATTGCATGCTTCGACATTGTCGCTCCAAAGAACCATGCCATCTCTTAATAAGCAACTTTCTACATTTGTGGCTGCTTGCACAGAAGCATAATATTGTGAATTTATAGCGGAATGGAATTAGCAGTCAGCAAAAAAAGATCCGCACCGCGAGCTGCGTTTAAAACCGCATCGCAGAGAGTAAAGCAACCTACTTATTAATTGAGCTACTGTTCCCCCTCCCGCCCCCATCTAAGTCCGGTATTAATCACACAATCGAACAAAGTACGTTGTACACACCACGACTCCGTTGCTTACTCCCTGAAGCGTTGTGATGCTGTAAATAGCAGATAGATCTATAAAGAGCAGCACAAATCTGTGAAAAAGTGTCAAGGTTGACCCATTGCTGAAGGCTCACTCTTAACGAACGGAAATTCATGTAATACATATTTCGGCACGATACCTCCGGAATACAATTTTATCAGATATATTGAATTAGAATTTACAAAGCGAGATATCAAGCACGTATATGAGGGCGAGAAAAACCGAGGAGGTAACGGGCAATAACCAAGTGGGTCTGATTGAAGGTCGGCTACAAAGAGTATCGTATAACATCTTAGGAGCTCTGAGCTTCCCATGTAAGCTTCGAGTCTCCGAAGTGTATAAGGGACGAATATGATGGGATTATTCGAACCTCATCCGCAAACCGGTGAAAAAAGAGCATTCGCGGGTAGTTATTTTTTACCCGCTTCGTTCCTTAATGGACTTAATCATACAGTATCTATGCGACGTATTGAGCATTGCTTCTAGTAGGCAAATATTGGTTCGTAGAACTATAATTTTAAAAACAAAATAGTGCTTCTGCATTAGAAACGCATTATTAGAGGTGCCACGAGCATGTTTCGCTTTGATAAAAAATTCGAGTTGCTGTAAAGACGTTCCCGGTTCGACTCTATCCAGTGGTTATGTCGACCATGAATTTCGCTTGAGCGATGTTCGTCAATTACGTGCTGTCATGTTAAACTTGCATCCTAATGATCACTGTGCTGTTTCGCATCTGTGCTCTGCCACAGCTCAAATGCCATGTTGCCATGGCCTGCTTAAATGGTATCTCTTGGTGCCCAATATTGTCGTCAACAACTACCTTCAAGGACAGATATCGCCTTTGACCACGACAGTATGGATGTAATTCTAAATGCATAGTTTGTAGTACTGACCCTTTCACCGAGCATGCTAGAATGGATCAGGTGACTCAAAATGACTTTAACTTACGTGTTTTGGGTTTGCAGTGTGCCTGTTCAGCAATACACCGCTTCAGTTTACTTTTTCAAATGCTTGAAAGACAGATTCTACGTTTGGATTCGACGTCGGATGAGGCTTTTGACTCCTAAACGTGATCGTGACTAAAACCTTTCAGGTTATTTCGCAATGGCCGTTGTCAAATGAAGAGTGAAGCCGGAGATAATCATCCTTTCAGATTCGATACATCTTCTACACAGAGCTCAGTTGGTGCAGGTCCAGTTGCTGTTGACGAGAATACTAGTTTATTGCTCTCATCAGATATCGAAAGGAGACGTATTTTTTGTCGATCACGACACGTCTCATACAAGCGAAGATATCTGATATTAACTTCTACGGCACGGACATGAAATGACCAGATAACCACACCACCATTACCAACCGCACTCACTAGCTAATACTGTTCGGAATGCAGTTGCCGGCTGCACGCGCATGAACCTTCGCAACTTTTCGTTGACTTCACGATCACTTTAGTAAATTGGAGGCATTTTTCTTGCATATGTCGAACCTTTCGCTGATATCTGTCCAGCATGGTAATAATTGATGAGTCCTCAAGAAAAATTCACCTAGAAACTTTTAATTTCGTACGCCGTTTAGGACCGCCCGAACCTTAGCTCAATTTCAGTCGCGTCGTGTACTGCTGCTCTACTATCAACTAATCGTAAAATAAAACTAAACTCCTACTTCTAAACATTCAATAGAATATCGCAGTGCTTCCGGAAGTAAACTCATGTTCAAGCAAATGTCCAGTTTCATTTGGACGGGTACAAATTAAGCATCTCTAGCACGTCCGGTTATTGTTCGCATAATGCGATAGCGGACCGTTTCGGATTGACGGCTGATGGTTAACTGATCACCAAACAAATCTACAGCAAATGGTAGTAACCGTTTATTTAAAAGAGTTCCATCGAACATAAACGCAACCGCAACTGAAACGCCAAATTTTGCGATATGGAACCGACATAACCGAGAGACATAACCATAAATACGCAACAATCGCATCTACAATACGAAATAGACGAGGAAAAAAACATTTAAATGCGTTAACAATTGTACAATAAGGACAATAAAATTAACGTGTGAAGTAAAAGCGATCAATACAACTATACTGTAACAGTTGAACTGCACTGAAAAAGAAAATTGTGGTGCAACAGTAATGGCAAATTCACGTTAATAAATACGTGCCTAAATGAGATAGATGAACATGATGGCGGCGATCGAACGCGGAGATCGCCGACGAAACGAACGACACAAAACCAGGGTCGAACTGTGAAGAACCGAACATCGTGCGCGCTGAGTACATCCAAATGAATGCGATGCGAATAACGACAAGCAGAATGAAGAACAGAATCGACAAAAAATAGATCCGCAACGGAAAGTGCTTATCACAAGCCTGTCAGCGTCAGCATTCACAATAGGTGATGATCATAAATAACAATTTTGACATCGTTGGCACGTTTGCATCACCAAGAACGAACGACTATTACAACCGGAAGGGGTAATGTACGAATAAAAGCAGAAAAAAGCTCGATCTCAATCCCATATTATCCTATCCGATCCAGCGCCACCTGGCCGACGGAACAGCCGAAGGACTGGACGCAGTTAATGAACGAACCAACGAACGAGGGAACATGAATTTATGCCGAAACGAAAAGCTTTTCAGCACGGTGTTCGGCGTCATGGGGCCGAGCACCGTTCAGGTGCTGGCCGAGAGCATCAGCTTTTGTATGAGGAACGCGATTATAAGGGCCACAACAAAAAACACGGCCAATATGATCACTGCCCATTCGGTGTCGCTCATTCGTGTTTTGACCTCTCCTTCAGTGTCGTCCATCGACACGCCGCCGGTTTCGCTGCAGCGAGTTCTGCTGAAGTTAAAAATGAGAATCAGGCGAAAGACGAAACAAAACACGTTCGAGTAGCACACTGTTTTTATTGTATTTAGCATAGGCCAGGTCAACCGAACAAAAAATGAGTTAGTGAACAAGCCATTAATTAATGAAGAGATTCATGCTCACAGCTACAAACATAAATGGTTTCAAGATGTTGCCTGTGTTCGTAACGAAAAACAATTTTACTCAAATTCAGGAGGATCCATAAGCTCCCGTGTTTGGAACTGTATGCACAAATCAGTGAAACGTCTACTGTTCAAACAACGAATTGACAACCGAAGAGGTCAAACTTTCTTTTCAATTTAGGACAATTTCAGTACAACGGAAGAGGAAAGTTTCAAACCGTTGCTATGTCGGATTTCAGCAACGTTTCAGGATACCAGATATCAAACAGCTTTCTTCGCAGAACCCATGAAGTTACTCTGGTTTCTGTCACCAGGCTACCAGTCAGCTATGAAACGTTTGTTCTACGACAATGATAATGCTTGGTGGTGGGTATTCAGTGCTAACGCGTGCTTCACGAAATGACATGTATTACTAATACCGCAAATTGAAACACGAGCTTCACCGGTTCGGATTCGAACCAATTCGCTAGCGCAACACTCTACCGTACATACTGAGCGGCCATCCCCTCTCCGCACGCGTCGTACTCGCTCAGCGTATCCTCAGGTACACGAGCATTGAGGCAGTTAACTAACAACTCCCCACCCGTCATGCCACGGTATATCAAGTGTTGCAAAACTGACTCAATAACTCAGTGTGCACTAGAATGATAGTGGTTTATAAATTCTATCAGATCAGATCTGCTATAACTCTGTGAACACAGGATTCGCTGGTGAATTTTGGTGACGCAGAAACTCGATACAATCGTCTCCGGAAGAGAATACAACAACGCGGAACTCGTACCTGCGTATCGCAGCAAGCGATGCGGTGCTGAAGGTCACAGTAACGGGAGAGCCGACCAGCTCGGTAATCTGCTCGTCAGATTTGTTGCTGGTCGCCGGCGCCGGTGACGCGTTGGTGTTGTTCGAGCAATAGCGCACAGCATGAACCCGGATTCGATAGGTGGTCGAAGGCCGGAGACCACTAATTTGGTAACTGGTTCCAAAATTTTTGTACACCTAATAAAATAACTTAATCAGATAAAATATCCTAACAGATATCGACTGTTGAAACACAAAAAATATTACTAACAAGTGACAAAAGACAATTCGATTACTTCGCCTAAAGACGTATATTAGACCTACGGGATCACAGGTTACGTTCCCGAACATACGCGAGCAGCATATTTTATCTACGAAACAAGTCAGATCAGTAGCGGAACGACGAATAACGGGGTAAGCGTGAAACTGCAATCGATCTACCATAACTTCCGTGGCGTGAAAGTTCATGTCAGACCTTCCGCGTCTACTGCACCTACTCGTACAGTCATCCAGAGGGACTCACCAACTGGTTCGCGACGAT